GTGTTCACGTATGTGACTTGTGCGGGTTAATGGCGATCGCGAACTTGAAGAAGAACAGCTTCGAGTGCCGTGTGTGCAAGAATAAGACGCAAGTGTCGCAGATCCATATCCCATATGCCTGCAAGCTTCTGTTCCAGGAACTAATGGCCATGAATATTGCACCGAGGTATGTTATACGACACGTCTCAATGCGCGGTACTATCTTCGGTGTGATTTAATTTTTTTTTTTTTGTTCATATTTATTGCAGACTGTTCGTTGAGCAAGCGGGCGGACGACAAGCGGGGGGTCTTAAGTGAGCTGGGGAATATTGTACCTAGAGGCAGAGGGAATATGATGTCATCTTTGGGCGTGGCCATTTATAGACACTGAAACACTAGTGGACCCAGATTGGGAGGTCACGACCCCAAGGCTTTAGGAATTTGTTCCCGAATGTATAAAACGCATTACTATCGTTCTTGAAAATAACCAAGATCAAACTGTCCGTCTGTAATACATATACGTAGGCTCAAATTTCGGATGCCTTATTGTTATTTTATCCTCATTCACATCACAGGCAAAGCTGGCGTTTACTCTTGTACTTACCTATTTCTGTATTCTGTACCGTATTATTGTAAAAATCAGTAAGGCATTCCCCGGGTTACATGCTAATCGTCAGGGAGCACGAATCCCAATCGGGCGAATTGGGGTTTGTTGCTCAGGCATCGTTCACAACAACACTGCACCCGTTCCCTAACCAAAAGATCCACTACTTTGGGTCCGATATAAGAGACGCGTAAATAACACACCTTTTGGTGCCCACAACATAACACCCTTCGCCACCTTATCTTCACAATGGGAAACGCGAACAGTAAGCCCGACGGCCCTCTGTACTCGAGGATTGAGGTGCCGCGTGTTGACGACTGCCTATTGTTCGACTATGTTGACCTCGCCGCGAACTCGTACGGCTCCACCATCGTCGCCGTCAGCGATCAGTTCTTCTCCTCCGCGGATAACCTGCTGAAACCAAAGTCACCCAAAAAATATGAGGACGAGTACGGCGGTGAGCAATAATGAACGGTCATTGCTCCATCAAATTGACACATTGTGCTTACGGTCGCTCTATTTGAGTCTTTACCCTTATTCTGTATGAAAACACTTTCGCACCTTAGATAATGGACCGCTGTCGGACGGTTGGGAAACAAAGCGTCATAACACTGGCGGCGACTGGTAAGAAGGTTGCGTTCGTGTGCTCATGTATTTTTCCCGTAAATGTGTGCGAGGTGTGGGATTTCTCTCACAATATATAGGGCAACCATCAGATCCGTTTGTCGTCAGCCCTTGAGTCCGTCATTTAAATCCTTTGAATCTCATTTCATTTCCGTCCATGCATATCCTAGGGTGATCGTTAAACTTGGCTTCCAAGGCACCATTCGTGGTTTTGACATCGACACTACACACTACGAGGATAATTATCCGCCTAAAGCACGCGTGGAAGCCTGCTTTGTTGAGGAAGATGGGATCAAGAAGGAGGTGGAGCCCGAATATCAGGTGTGTTCCTTGTATCTGTCACCGTACCATTAGTGAAGCAATCTCTCGAATAACTCATAGCTGGCTAATAACCCATCGTTTCCTACGAAATATTTTTCATCCGCATAACACACTACTAGTGGAAACTTCTCTTACCCACCATCTCTATCAAGCGATCATCGCACAATTTCTTCGCCATCCCCGACACCGACGATATCTACACCCACGTCCGGTTAACCATCATTCCGGATGGCGGTGTAGTAGGTGGCGCTCCTCCTTCGCGTGCGTTTTGTTTCGTGCCACGTTCTCCTGCTAATCTAGCCTTCTTCCACCCACAGGCTCGCTTCCGCGTTTACGGTACCTGCGAGCCTAAATGGACCCCCAGCCACGTGGATAGCATGGTCGATCTTGCTTTCGCGGGTAATGGTGGGCGTGTGGTGTCCGTGAGCACCCAACAACCATATGGGAGGAAAGAGAACCTCCTTCTGCCGGGTAGAGGCTTGAACGGGTAAGCCGGAAATTGTGGAAATATAGCGCTCTAGCGATGCGGTCATATCTGTCTTTTAAACGTAACACCTCTTGGACTCGTTTTGATTTTCATCTCGTCCCAATTAACAGCGGCGATGGTTGGGAGACCAAACGTTCGCGTACTCTGGGCCATCGCGACTGGGCCGTTGTGAAGTTGGGAGCTGCCGGACATTTAGAGAAGGTGGAGATTGATACGAACCATTTCAAAGGTGAACATGCTCCCGTAGTGCGACTATTGACCATCTCGTTTAGTGGTCGTATCGAGATAGTAAGCTCATCGTTTTATTTTTCAAAGGTAACCACCCCGAAGCCGCGCGGATTGAGGCGTGTTACACCGTTGAGGTAAGCATCACACAGCAACTGATATCTGTGAACTGCAAACCCTTCGTCTGCATGGTTGTCCTTGCAAATATGGTAATTGATATCCAGAGTTGTATCTTCATGTTTGTTCACTAATCTCATCTGAATTCGTTTCTCCTATCAGAACAACCCCGATCTTGATGTCGATATCGAGTGGATCGAACTATTGCCAAAAACCAGGCTTCAGGGACACACGCAACAATTCTTCACACTGACCCCGGTCACGCAACCATTCACACACGTGCGCCTGACCATCTTTCCTGGTAAGTGTGATGCCCTCTATTGTGCTATTTGCAGGCCTGAAAATATAATTCCCGGACAACATTAAAAATCACATCCTCATTTCGGTTGCAGATGGCGGCATGAAACGCCTTCGCGTTTACGGTCGCCTTGCTGAGGAGAAGGATTCCAAACAAGAAGTCGTGGTCGAAACCTCCAAAAAGGTTGAAGAAGAAACCGAAGTATTCGTCAAGGACGAGAATAAGCCTAACAGCACTACCACCGAACCCGAGAACCCAACGCCAGCTCCTCTCACATCTACCACTCCGCCCGCCTCCTCGAACTCCACCGCTGTTACAACCAGCATCAGTACCAGCACCAGCAGCATCAGTACCATCAGCAGCGACTTGTCATTCCCCCTGCCGCCGCCCCCAACCACTGCCGTTACCACCCATCCCATCTTCAAAGCGACGTTCCCGACCACCCCGACCCGCTCCACCAAGGCCGTGCGTGCTGGCCGCGGTGCCGACGGGAAGAAGAAATCGCGCGCGCGGGAGGAGAACGACGAAGACTCGAGGTCGCGACAGGAGGTCGAGGAAGCTCAACCCCAGACGCCCAAAACTCCCGCGAGCACGAAGCGTACACGGCGGAATTTGTGACTCTCGGCCAGCCCAGTCAGGAAGGCATGTGTGCAATGCGTATTGTCCGATACGGGCATTTGCGAGGAACATAAGGTGTGAGGAGTGGGCGTTCGGTGTCTCCCACGTTGACAGCTCTTGGTCAACAAATCCGGACGTCTTTGGAGGAGGGTTTGGTGGAGGAAGGGCAAAATGCGCATATGCTGGTACAAGCCTGGGCTGCTATCGGTCGGAGGACTGTTCGTTATACTCCGAGAAACGCCTTTTTAGGGGGGGGGGGGGTTTCGTTTCGAGGATTCATGTTGATGTATTTGTTTTGGTTGCGTTTCTGTGATTTTATTTCTGCGTTTCTTGTAAATTCCTGTTTTCTCTTTTTCTTGAGATTGGGGTATGTTTCTTGGTTTTGTTCTTGAAGAACACGGTGTTCTTTGTCCACGTCTCCAAAACGCTCTGGTTAAATTAGACAGGGTTGTAACCACTACAAGTGGGTTGAATATATAAAATATTTACGTCATATTTATTACGTTGGCAGTTGGTTTTAATGTTCAGGGCACTCCGAAGTCCGGGATGATGTGATCCCGCAAATGTGGGAATTCATTGCAATGTTTCGCAAAAGCCCGGGAATTGTCAGTAAGCAAAAATGACATCCATTTATTCGTTTCATTGTTGTACTCAATTGTATTTTTGGAGGGGGTCCTTTGCACGCATCAAGCAACGATTTCAGGTAAAACGGACAACCCAAAAAGCCAAGGCAAGCACCCCAACCCGATGTAGAAAGATGATGTCCGAGCAATGTCGACATTAAAGATGTAGGCTGGGTAGAAGGCCATTCGGGAGATCATGTGGAGAAGACCAAAGCTGATATTGGAAAGAAACCATCAACAACAATAAACAATGACGGCACGAGAATAGTGCTATGAAAGTATAAAGGATTACCCGATTTGCTTGTCGAGTGGGACCTTGGCAATATGTGCGATGATCATGGCCGACGCAAAGCCCGGGAACTGCTCCATCAGGTTCTCGTGGCTGGCGAGCAAACGGGCGCTGAGACCACGCAGTTCTTGGCGATGAATTCGAGGATGCTTGACACGAATGGGTCAGCGGACAGCGGGTAAAATACGACAACAATTCAGTGCTCATATATCACTGGAACAGATTCTTCCAAGTGCCTCCTCACCTGATTATCAAACCCCTCTTTCCTCTTCGCCGCCACCTGCCCCAACGTGCTCCCCATAGAGCTTACGCAATACGTCAGCGTCCAAACAACACCGAGCGTCGCAAACGGCACATTTTCTTTCTTGACCCCTGCTCTGGCGAACCAAGGCACAAGGACACCATCGAGGATGCCGGTCGATTGGATCTTGCGTGCAAAATACGTGCCCAACAGATAGAGCAGAGGCACGCCGGGAACCAGGAGCGGGGCGGGGATGGCTGTGGTAGGGAAGGGGAGTCCGAGCTGGCGGAGCTGGCGGCGAAGGTCGAGGGGGGGCATGGGTGGGCTTTGGGAATGGAGAGAAAATTCATATGACGCGTTGACCCAAGAAGGTGTGTCACATGACTCGCAGATACACGACTTTCACACACCCCTGCCCCTTGATAACTATCAGTAGTGAGGGTTTTGTACACTATTTAAACGATGTAAGAAGTACATTAATACTCAAAGCCTGCATACGATAATATCGATCTGAGCGATCGCGACACGTTGCTATGCTACTTAATTACTAATGAGCTGATGGACACCAATACGAGCTGGCTTAGTGTAGTGGTTATCACGTGTCCTTTACATAGTGTATAGTTTAACTATATAATATAAGAACGGACAATGTCGCAGGTTCGAACCCTGCAGCTAGCATATATCATCTTTTTTTTTGGCCCTGTTTTTAATACATCACCAATCATCGCCATTTATGGCCACGGGATTGAAGGATGCTGGTATACTCGTGAGGAATTGAATGCGGGTCCCATTTTAATGTCGTTAAGTGCCCATGGCTCGACACGGTGAGGCATTGAGTGTAGTCTTGGGAATTGTGGACGCAGGGCTTATTTTAAAACACGGTGAGCAAGAGGATCCCGCCCACATTGAAAGGTTGCAGAAGGTATACCAGGAAGTGGGAAGGATGAGATGATTAGAAAGGCAGTGTTGAAGATCCAGAGAGCTGGTATGGACCTGCTGCCAATGAATGAAAGCCGCAGATTTTATACAGATTCCTGTTGTTTTATGACATTTACAGGTGAGCAACAATTCCAGAAAGAAGAAAAGCTTAAAACGTATGTAGTCTCGGAAAGATACAGGAAAACGTGACGATGACGTGCTCGACCCAAGGGCCAGGCACGCCGAATCAAGCATATGTATGTTGGTTCTATCGGTAAGCGTGACAATCCCGCGATGGAGAATGGGAGCAAGGCGCGAGACACTACAAAAGGATAGATGTGTCATCCTTGTCGGACCAAAGCGTACTCATACCTCAGCGACCCCCAAGCACTACAGTGCGGCGAATCTATAAACTTTGAGGGTATAGAACATAATAAGAAAACCATATATTAAAACCCTAACTCTGTAGCATGATTCTTTGATCAATTTACTACAACTTGTCAGAGCAGAATTTTTATTTAATTTTTTTTTATGTCTCTCTATAAAAATATATATATATATTATGTTGAGCCAAAATTTGGCACCATCACATGCTTCTTAAAAAGGAAATCACCATATAAGTTTTATAATACTATAAAATTTTATAACACTGAACAATTGAGAGACAAGTTTTATAATGCTATATATGTAAATTTTGTAATACTATAATAATAATAATAATAAGAGGTGGACGGACGATTGAGACGGAGACAGACGGACGATTGAGATAGAAAATTGAGACGGCAAACGACCGAGAATTTACTATCAATTTATTTATATATTAGGAATTCAATGTTGAGAATGATATTTTTTTTACAGTAATTTCTACTTTTCTTTCTGTTAATTTTTTAAGATATATATCCATATATCTAAAAGATTTTCTAGTATATTTATAAATAGTTGATAATTTAATACTATTTAAAGCCTGAAAAACTGAGATTTATAATATAATTATTCAAATAATTTATCATTTATAGCTTATATTTACATATATAGATATTATTATTATAGATATTATCAATCTCTATATTACTAATTTTAATTATAATATATAAAAGTATATAACTTACATTAATAATAAAAAAACAACCTTATTCTTTTATATTTACTTTAGTAATTCTCTACTAATATTAATAATTACTAACTAAAGAAAAATATCTTTTAAATATATTATATTATATTAAGATAATAAACTTAAATATAAGTATATTTAATATAAAGATATATATATAGTTAAGATTAATTTCTATAATCTGAATATCTAATTATGTATTCAGTCAGATAAATATTTAGATTACTAATTTTACTATTATTATTAAGTATAATGATTTTAGTATTTTTTAAAAAAAAAAAATAAAAAAAAATAAAATTCTAATATTTTTTAATAAAGTTTAAATAATTTAAAGAGATATTTAAGTTTAAAAAGTTCTTAAAAATTTACTAAAGAAAATATTTAAGAAAATCTTTTTTTTTTTTAAAAAAAAAAAAAAAAAAAAAAAAAAAAAAAAAAAAATTAAAAAATAAAAAAAAAAAAAAAAAAAAAAAAAAAAAAAAAAAAAATTTTAAAAAAAAAAAAAAAAAAAAAAAAAAAAAAAAAAAAAAATTAGTACTAAGAGAAGAGTTCTGAATATTTAAAAAATACTAAAATATTGTAAAATAATTAAGAAAAAGCATGACTAATCAAGTAAACTATCCTGAAATGTTTTTTTTTTTTTTTTCATTTTTTTTTTTTCATTTTTTTTCTTTATATATGGTAAAGGTTTTGGTTAACTGCGGCGTTCACATGATCATGTTTACTGATCATATGGGACACAATTTTTCAAAAAGGTACTAATCCTGATAGGCCATAAGGCACCTTTTGAAAAATTACGCCCCATATGAGAAAAGGTACCAATCCAGATAGGCCATAAGGTACTTTTTAATAATCTTCGCCTCATATGCTCTCTAATCACATGTTTGCCGAGGTTCGGAAATTCCCACTGTAGTGCTATGATATCATCCTTATCAATGACTCACGCCCACAAATCCACACATCCAGTCTTCCACTCTACTCAATCATCCAATCATGCATTGTCGCACCATCCTTCTCCTCTGCCTTGCCCTTGTCACCACCGTAACCAGCGAGGATCCCATTTCCCTCGAAACGGTTGCACATCTCGACCCCACATGCTCCAATCCGCCCTATCAGTCTTGTAAGTTCTACCTAGAATGCGCGGAGGCCAGGTTCCGGTGCGGCAAGAAGGGCTATCCCGTCCACTACGGCAACGAATACTGCACAAAGTTTGAGAAAGGCCAAGGGCGACTAAGTGAAGCGGGAAATAAATGGGTATGTGGAGTCTCTTCCCCCCCCCAATACGTAAAATCCACGCTTCATTTTCATTTTCAAACACACCCACCCCACGATCTCATATTTTTGCTCCCTCCCAGATGTGGGCCGTGATGAAATGTCTCCAGGATGCCCTTGCACCGACGGTGGTGTCAGATAAAGGAACCACCTGCAAGAAGCTCGATAGAATAGCATTCGATACTCACCCGTACTGTTACGTGCGATCCGGATTTTGCTCTCTAAACTTGTCTGATATGGTGAGCACTCGCCTTTGCGCACAGCTACTTTGATAGAGACGGAATTACCTTTCGATTAACATTCTTTCTCTTTCTCTTTCTCTCTCTCTTTATCTCTCTCTTTCTCTCTCTCTCTGCACTAAGCTTGCTGTTGTCGAGATCATTGGGTGGACGGCCTTTATCCATATCGAAGCATTTAAGGTAACGGCCGCATTTAAGCCTAAGGGCTCCTTTTATGTTTTTCTTTTCTTTTACTAAAATCTCCCATAATTTGCATCCCTACTTCATGAACCAATAGCAAGTCTTCTATACTGGTGGAATGTGCGGCTTATACTACGTTGGTCTGGTGTCCGATGCGATCCTTCCTTGGAGCCACGATGCTGCGCAGATTGCAAACAAGACTATTATGCATTTTAGCACGAAACAACTTTTCAAGGATATGAACGTGAACGAGTAGAGAGGTGTCAAAGGGCTCTTAAAACTGTCATTAAATCCGGCGTCATGTGCCGCAACAGGCTTTTCGGAATCAGCGGTATCTTTACCATAAAATATCTTAAGCCGAGACAGTTATTGTGACCTCCGCGATATACAAATTTGTGGCTATAACCAGATGATTCTAATGATTTTAAATTAGTGTGGATGCGATCATAATACTAAGGATTATGGGTGTGACAATATACATGTGCAGAACATTTTAGCCGCATTATAAGCTGAAAGCCCTCCGCTTTGTTCAAATAACTGTCGTGGGCATCATCTCATTCTCCTTCGTGTCCCATAGAGGAAACCGCTGACCCCATTGCCTCTCCATCCACTACGTTTTGATCTTGGCTACAATACCAAAGATTGACAGCCCTCCTAGGAGCCCGACAGCCACCAGTTCGACCATATAGATGGTGTGCGAGTTCTTCTCCTGACCCACAGCCACCAATCCCACGGCCCAGGTGAGCCTTAGACCGTACACCCAGTCGTTGCGCCTCAGGATCGACACGAGCAGGATGCCCACCAAACCGATGGCGACAATGCCACCGATGGCAGCGTGGGCGTTGTAGCCGTTTGGTCCGCCATCGAGGCCTTCGCCGTGCAAGGAGACGGCGACGATGAATGTGTTGAGGGTGCCCAGAGCCACGATCCGTTGCAAAGCGCGGAACCCGAATGTATATTGGATCAATGTCCAGATGGTGAATCTAGCTTTTTAAAAAAGGATTGAGTCGTCAGGTTTGATGAATTGGTGAGCTCGATAACAAAAGCAATTGCACTGTCATCAGCAACATTTATATACATGGTGTTGTTGAATGTGTACTTATGTAGGGCCAAGGGGGGGGGGCTGTAAATCTGTGAATAAAAGAAAATAAGATATATACTGATTGATTAAGAGAATTTGTGACTTATGTATAAGTCCATCCAAACAGACTGCTGCTCATTCTAATGACTTATTGTAACCTTACTATATATCTTGTTCATTCTATTAGTAAGGTAAAATCTCTACTTTAGATTTTTTTAGAGAATGGTTTTATGTTCTAATGTTTAATTCTAATTACTTATTTTTTAATTCTTACTGCTCATTCTAATATCTTATCACTTATTCTTTTTCAACACCTCACCATATTACTTATTTCTGCCTCACTGCTTATTTCTGATTACTCATTTTTAAGCTTAATTTTATCTTACTTATTTCTAATATTTTATCTTACTATTTATTCTAATATTTTATCTCACTTTTTTAAATTATATAAAATCTCTACTATAGATCTTTTTGCAGTCTTTTTGATGGTTGGTTCATATATTTCTGATACTCATTTTCAATATCTCATTACTTAATTTAATATTTTATTTTACTTTTTTAAATTAGAATTTATACTTTATAGTCTTTTGAAAAGTTATGCTTATATATTTCTGATATTTATTTCTACTAATTTTTTCAGTTAGATAAAATCTATACTTTGCACAGTTGTACTTATATATTTCCAATGCTCATTTCTAATAAGTTGTAAATGTAAGATATTCATCAGAGATCTGTTTCATATTCTTCACTAAATTGGGCCAGACCATTTATGATGAGAATGGTGGCAGTTGCGAGTACGTTCAACAACCGAAGGATGAAGATTTTTGTGGAGCTAGAGGTGGCCATGTTTGTGGACAATGGTTGTAATTCCCTTTTA